AGTTAAGAATTGAAGCGCCGCTCAGAGCCACTATTGTGTCCAATGGGTTTTCTGGTAGTTAAACCTTACGAAATGAAGAATGATTATCGAGAATTGTCCCTTATGAGGTGTCGGTTGATTTCGAAAGATGCATTTTTGCTGGGTCCAATTCGTTTCGTCAATCATAAATTCCAGCTGAACTGCGAATATTTTGGTAGTTACAGCTGTAGACTGAATTGCGGACTTGTTTGTTTGAAAGCAATCGGAAACATAAAATTCGATTTTAAAAAATTAGTGAAATACTGTGATGATTTCATTGGAAATAATGATCAATGCAAAATCCTGGGAAAACCAGTGAGCCGGAACACAAAAGCGCCGAGAAATTGGAGAGCTTTTTAACTCACAGATATCAATCTTCTCAGCCCTACTCTGCAGCTGATACAATCGTTTGCGAAGCAGTGCGAAAGGAATCCGGTCCATCAAAATTTTCGCAGCTCAAATTAGTTACTCACATGCGTTGCTCAAAGAAGTTGAAAAAGACTGAAAACAAGATCATGCTGAAAAAATGGAATCTAACGCAATCTTAGAATATTTTCATTGGCGAACTATGACGAGCCAAGAAAGGCCCCCAACAGCAGACAGCGTGGTCGAAAACTTGGAAAAGCACGTTAAATGTATTAAATTTTGAGCCGCAAGAGAAACTAGATATATCTGAGGCTGAAAAGGTCTGCTCTAACATTTTGCAAGTATCCGAAATGAGTGAGAAGACTCAAGCAACACTAATGGGGATTTAATTTCGCGGTAGTCATCAGGGGGCTTCAAATTCAGTACAGCGACTCTATTCGAGATTTCAGATGCACCCATTTAATTATCAACAATTTTGCTCATGTCAATTATTGCGACACATTGTGGTTCAGATCAGTTGCTGCTCGATCTAATCAATCGCAAACAAACGATACACGGAGAAAAACGCACCAGCACCCAATGAATCAAACGAATGGCGAGTCAAGCCACTGATGACGATATCTTTACTCAAGAAAAGGAGAAGTATGCTAATGGTGAGCTCATTCTTCTGAAGTTTTTCAATAGTCTTGTTCAGCTAGTGCCGGAAAACGTTATGTTATAATGGCGAACTATGGCTTACCCGAGCTCGGACTCAAAAACTGATCTCAAACTTGAGATCATTACTGAAGAAGACACCATAAGAAGTCGTCTCATATTAACATCGATGACGCCAATGTTGGGACCTCTCACCGTGAATCTGCTTATCCTGTATGGATAGGATAGCGTGTGCTGATTTTCCACCCAAATTTAGGCCTTTTTAGCTAAAAAAAAAACTATGTGCCCTATGGTATGGATTTGATTTTAGCGATTAACATTTCGTATTTAATTACTCAAAAATGAAATAAGCCAGCCAGCTCACATAGTTCGAAAGGACCGAAATTACGACCTAAGGTTCATTAAAATTATGCTAATAGCTGATTTAACATATCAGCCAAAATTGCTGAAAATGGTCACTTTATGAATCAGATCATCATGCTGAACTTTGCGGCGTTTTGGAAGCAGCGGGTCGTAACCTTTCGATGTACTCCATGAGGGAATTTGAGTCCAATATCTTCCGTCTTCTGAGGCATCTTTCATTGCAATGTAAGACATTTGGTCCTCTTTGGACGACTTCAGCAACCCAATATGAGTCAACCAGTCATCATTTGGTTCGTCCTTTAACAGGAACAGTTGATACTTAGCGATTTGATTGCTGATTGGGCGCAATTCGGTCAGTAAGTTCACAACGCATATGACAATCGCATACATACACTTTTTCATTTGCAAACTACTAATATTGATTCTTCATGTAGTGTTATATAATATTAGCAGAATAAATTCAAAGCACCTGTCTTCTTGAATAAAATTGAAGGAAGAATTTGAAACGCCAAATGATGACTGCACTGCGTAATTGCAGGTCGAGATCTCCCTCAAACACATCCCAAGGAGTCGCAGTAGACGAGGATACCAGATTTGAAGCTAGCAAACTCTCCTTTACCTTCTGTTGCTGACCGAAATCACCCAGATGAAGGAGCACAGTGGTCAGTTTTCTGAAGGGACATAACCTAAGGAAGTGAAAAGCACTATGGAAATAGCAAGGGAAAAAGCCAAGAAAAAAGATCAGCCAGCTAAGTCAGCTGAAAATACAGGTGAAGATAAGCATACACTAGCAAACCAAAAAACTGCATCCCGCGTGAAGGAAATCAGTCATGAAAAAATTTAAAGTATCAGTAGACAGTTCTTTGATTCTGCTTAACCTTCTTTGTTTGTTGAAGGTGATTGAACTTTAAAACAACTGCTAATGAAACATTTATCTTAAAGATTATACAAAAATTTTGTAAGAATTGTAACTGAACGTTGAAAATCAACTCTATTGAACCTTCTGCTATGTTTTTAATTTTGACTTCAAACAGAATTGTTATATAGCGTGTCTTGCTATAATAATTAATGATTGGAAATGAGGAATTGTGTTTGAGAGTAATAAAGGGATGCGCGGTCTAGGCTCAATATCTTCGACTCAGGGATGTGCTTCGTGATGTCTACCCCCTTCTCTTGAACGTGATGCTGAAATCGATGATTCTGCAAAAATTCTTTAGTTTGTTGAACGTGATTTAACTTTTTATTCCAATTGTTAATGAAATTTTTGTCTCTGAGATTATTTAAAACCTTTGTTAGAAATTGTAACTGAACGTTGAAAATCAAGCCTATTGAAACTTCTGCTGTTAGATGATTATATAGAATCTTCGTTGAAATCTGGTTAAAGTTTCATAGGTATTGAATGTTTGTTAATCATTTTCAATTCCGGAGTTCCTGAGCACTTTTTTCGACGAGTCAGTTGAAAGGCGTTTAAGAACAACACTGAATAAGAAACCAGAAGACGCTCTTTCAGACAAAAATGGCAAGCGTCTGTGATAAGGTTTCATTAGATGGGCTCATAGAAAGCAAATTGATATATAACCGAAGTGATGAGCAAATGACCTATTGAAAAATTCTATGATTCTCGTTGGCCACATCTTGAAAATGGTTTGAAGACATCGAAAACCTTACTGAAACTTCGCAACAAAAATAATGAACTTTTACGAAGTCACAATTCAGGAAACATGTCTTTCCTACCCGAAAACTACGGCGATTATGGTTAATTCAACACAAAGTTAAGAATTGAAGCGCCGCTCAGAGCCACTATTGTGTCCAATGGGTTTTCTGGTAGTTAAACCTTACGAAATGAAGAATGATTATCGAGAATTGTCCCTTATGAGGTGTCGGTTGAATTCGAAAGATGCATTTTTGCTGGGTCCAATTCGTTTCGTCAATCATAAATTCCAGCTGAACTGCGAATATTTTGGTAGTTACAGCTGTAGACTGAATTGCGGACTTGTTTGTTTGAAAGCAATCGGAAACATAAAATTCGATTTTAAAAAATTAGTGAAATACTGTGATGATTTCTTTGGAAATAATGATCAATGCAAAATCCTGGGAAAACCAGTGAGCCGGAACACAAAAGCGCCGAGAAATTGGAGAGCTTTTTAACTCACAGATATCAATCTTCTCAGCCCTACTCTGCAGCTGATACAATCGTTTGCGAAGCAGTGCGAAAGGAATCCGGTCCATCAAAATTTTCGCAGCTCAAATTAGTTACTCACATGCGTTGCTCAAAGAAGTTGAAAAAGACTGAAAGCAAGATCATGCTGAAAAAATGGAATCTAACGCAATCTTAGAATATTTTCATTGGCGAACTATGACGAGCCAAGAAAGGCCCCCAACAGCAGACAGCGTGGTCGAAAACTTGGAAAAGCACGTTAAATGTATTAAATTTTGAGCCGCAAGAGAAACTAGATATATCTGAGGCTGAAAAGGTCTGCTCTAACATTTTGCAAGTATCCGAAATGAGTGAGAAGACTCAAGCAACACTAATGGGGATTTAATTTCGCGGTAGTCATCAGGGGGCTTCAAATTCAGTACAGCGACTCTATTCGAGACTTCAGATGCACCCATTTAATTATCAACAATTTTGCTCATGTCAATTATTGCGACACATTGTGGTTCAGATCAGTTGCTGCTCGATCTAATCAATCGCAAACAAACGATACACGGAGAAAAACGCACCAGCACCCAATGAATCAAACGAATGGCGAGTCAAGCCACTGATGACGATATCTTTACTCAAGAAAAGGAGAAGTATGCTAATGGTGAGCTCATTCTTCTGAAGTTTTTCAATAGTCTTGTTCAGCTAGTGCCGGAAAACGTTATGTTATAATGGCGAACTATGGCTTACCCGAGCTCGGACTCAAAAACTGATCTCAAACTTGAGATCATTACTGAAGAAGACACCATAAGAAGTCGTCTCATATTAACATCGATGACGCCAATGTTGGGACCTCTCACCGTGAATCTGCTTATCCTGTATGGATAGGATAGCGTGTGCTGATTTTCCACCCAAATTTAGGCCTTTTTAGCTAAAAAAAACTATGTGCCCTATGGTATGGATTTGATTTTAGCGATTAACATTTCGTATTTAATTACTCAAAAATGAAATTAGCCAGCCAGCTCACATAGTTCGAAAGGACCGAAATTACGACCTAAGGTTCATTAAAATTATGCTAATAGCTGATTTAACATATCAGCCAAAATTGCTGAAAATGGTCACTTTATGAATCAGATCATCATGCTGAACTTTGCGGCGTTTTGGAAGCAGCGGGTCGTAACCTTTCGATGTACTCCATGAAGGAATTTGAGTCCAATATCTTCCTTCTTCTGAGGCATCTTTCATTGCAATGTAAGACATTTGGTCCTCTTTGGACGACTTCAGCAACCCAATATGAGTCAACCAGTCATCATTTGGTTCGTCCTTTAACAGGAACAGTTGATACTTAGCGATTTGATTGCTGATTGGGCGCAATTCGGTCAGTAAGTTCACAACGCATATGACAATCGCGTACATACACTTTTTCATTTGCAAACTACTAATATTGATTCTTCATGTAGTGTTATATAATATTAGCAGAATAAATTCAAAGCACCTGTCTTCTTGAATAAAATTGAAGGAAGAATTTGAAACGCCAAATGATGACTGCACTGCGTAATTGCACCATTAATTTTCAAAAGCAACATTAGATGTTCAACTCGATGACACACGAAAGCACGATTAACTGTCTAACTGACAAATTATTTACACGATGACAAACAAAACTATATTAGTGTATTCAGAACACAGCTTTACGAAATGAGTTCAGCTCTCATCTGTCGATTATTGCACTATTGCCACCAACTTGCAGTTCTGGCCATGAAGTTTAGAGGTCTGTATCCAGCGATGTAGTTCGAGATGGTCCTAGGAGAGACGAACTCGTTTGGCACTGGTCCCCCCACATTGCACTCAAAGAACACCACAATAGGGTGTAAGAAGTTGCGACACAAGAGATTGTAACGCGACTGTTTCTGAAGAGCAGGGAAGTTGGCAACTGTGTGGTAAGTCCAGAACATCCGAGTCACCAGGTAGTAAGCGACTATGACGTCTATGGTGTAGTGCTCGCGTGAGATGAGCACGAGGAAGATGCCGAATGTTGAGAAGATGAATGATGCAGACCTCAGAACCCGCAGGTTCGTTGGAGTGTCTGAAACCAAACGAAACGATTTTCACTTCTATGCAAATTCAACGTTCTAATCGATAGGAGTTTGGTACTTCCAAATTTGAGTTTCAATGTACATTTTCCAAAGAATTTCTGCGCTAAACTATGGCTAAAAGCTTAATGATACCAAAGAGATATGCACAACAAGCCTTTTCGAAGTTTGATTTTGTTCGTCAGGCCAAATTCCGTGCCATATTAAATACAAAAGATTTAAAAAAATTTCAACATTTTTTCAAATTTTAAAGTTTTCAAGTCTCACATATCAACAGCACATAAACGAATGAAAATTAGCCATCATGTAACACAAAAAAGTTCAACGTTCTGTTAAAGACTATAATTTTGAAATTAACTCAAATACATTATAAACTAAAAAGGATAACAGTTCAGACTTGTCAGAATTAGGACTAATGATATGAAGAGGCGAAAAATAATTTCAATGAAATACACATTGTGCACAATTGCCAACCAAAACGAACCATTACATCTTGCTTTCTACTATCGAAAGCTTCTACAACTGTTCGCTTACATTCATTGATGTAGAGATACAGTCCTGTGATTGAAATGGTGTGTCCGCTGAAAATCAGATCTCCGCAGTAGTTCTGACCGGCCACAGACAACCCGATGCGAGAGAACAGGGCAAACACTCGCGCCCAAGCTTCCATCACTGACCCAGCCTAAGGCACGAGGAACCGTGATATATTCATGAGGGGGGGGGGTGGTGTATGGGGTGGTAGAGGTAGGAAAACTATCAAAGCGAGCAAAGCATACGAGCCAGCCAAAAGATAACTCTGATTTGCGTCTCTGAATTGGGTCCTTTGCATTCAATCTGAATTATGCTGAGCAGAAGCGCAGCAGAGCTTAACTACACTTCCTGTGTGAAAATGCAATAGACGAAGGAAATGAAGTGAATTTGAAAAGAAACCAAAAGTCAAACCGCGAAAAAATCAACTTTTAAACTTTTCCTGAAAAAAATCACCGAGAAATATATCAGAATTATTACTCTTAAAAGCAGCTCATAAAATAGGTAAAATAAGCCTCGAATTCGTAAAATTTTGGCCATGAGTCGGATTCGAAGCTGCAACCTAGAGACTTGGAGTCTCGCATTCTCGCATCTGGGCCACGGGCCATTGCATATTCATCAACACTCGCAAACAATACTGCAGCTATAGATGACAATAAGCTCCAAATGCTGAGCAACAAAAACACTACCAAATATAAAACATGAGAGTTGGAAAAGAGTAACAAAACACACAAACAGTTAGAAAAGAGTCAATGAAAGCGAGTAACAAACAAAAAAACTTTCATTTTTACAAGAAAAAAATTGTGGTCCTTAAGCTCTTAAAATTTCAACAACAATTTGTGATTGACACTTTTTTGATGAAGACAATTTAGGAAATCTGGATCGAAAGGTAAAACTTTTATTTCGCTGGAAAATCTGATAACTAAAATTCATTTTCGAAGTTGAAGTCGACCATGTTTTTCGTGATCTTTACACTTTTGCTCTTCGATGGTGGAGATTGCCTTCCTTTTAAGAAAGGAAACGAACTGAACTTTAAAAAATCAAAAGTCGAAAAAACGAAAAAGTGGATTTGAGCCTGAACAAATTTTAAGACTTTTCCTGGAAAAAACAACTTATCACGTTCATCGACTCTTAATAAAACTAGTGCTAAGAGCGGCGTTGAACTTCCAAGTAGCTTAAAAGTCTCACGCCATCAATAAAGCAGCGAATTTTTAATGCTACAGATCGTGATTATAGCAAAAGTGCGACCAAATAAGCATTTTGTTTTCGAATGGGAAAAAAATCATACTACAACATTACGCTCTCTAGCTAGTTGAATAAATATCTGTTGTTTGTTGACCAAAAATATCTGTAGGCGATATGATTCTTTGAATTTTTAAATTTGTAAATGTTCAGTGTTCGATTTGACAAAGGTTGCTTTTTGCAGCTTTAAAAAACTCGTCAAAAAAATCCAGCCGCGAAAAAAGTAGGATGAACCGGAAAAAGATTAACCAGATGAAGACAATAACCGCTATTACCTAAATCGGAACGACCTTAACCCCAATTTATTTATTCAAACTTAAAGCTCAACGTATACATTGGCCAAAAACTGAGGCATAATCCACTTGGTATGAAAACACAGATACAAAATACTACAAAATAAACTTTTTCGTCTGCAATAAATAACAATACCGGATTTACAAAGTCGTGTTATCAGAAACGAGCCACCTCATGAAAGGAATTGCATTTTTTGAAAAATTAAGCGGAAAAAAACAAATATGTTATACCTTTGTCTCGGATGAGGCTCATAAACAACAAAACTGTAGTCATAAAACGATTTCAAGCCATAAAACCAAAATTTCTACAGTTACAAACAAACATTTTCAAAAAATCGCTATAGCCGATATAACATAAGCTGAACTCGTTTAACCGAAAAAAAAAGTTATTCATAACCAGAGTTCGTAAATTTACAAATTACAAAACAATTTTCAATTATAGTTCTAGGAGCCCATGTAAAGCTAAAGGTACCTGTTTGATTTTTTTTTCTGAATTTATTGAACTGATGCAGGATGAAATGGATAAAATCAAAAAGTCTAAATTATGGCTTCACCCAAAATCTTAGCTGTTTCTTTAATAAACACAGAGGCTAAGCTTCGCTTCGCAAACACTAGCGCGAACATGACAAAAAATCAGCTCTATCAATTGCAATAAGAAAAAGTAGAATTAAGTCTCGAATTAGCAAAAAAAATCGGCTACGTCTGAGATTCGAACCTGCGACCTCGCGATTAAGAGTCTCACACATAGCCAAACACTAGTCACAAATACACAGTTGCTATGCAATTTCCAATGCTACAGTGAAATTTTCAAATAAGTTAACACACTTTAATGAACACTTTTATTTGCGAGTTAGGTTCGAAAAAAAAAGAAAATTCTTAACAATACACTAAGTTGACGTTAGTGTAAACAGGTAAGATCAAACTGAAATTGGAATTTTCCCGATTATTTTTCCATAGCCAAACATTTTTCTTTCAAACTTTATGGCGTAGCCGCTTATGCACGCAGGCTTCTTACAATCTTATGCTTCGTACACGTGATATCAGATTCAATTGATCTATTTCCGAGAAAAGTTTTAAAACGGACCAAAAATCAAAACATTGGCTTGCTCAGAGCCAAACATTTTTTCTACAAACTTTATAGCGTAGCCGCTTAAGCACGGAGGCTTCTTACAAAATCATGCCTCGTACCTCGACATACGAGTCGGCTGGACCTTTTTCGAGAAAGTTCTATAAAATTTAAAACGGACAGCCATAATTTAGTAAGAAAACTTGGACGTAGCCGCTTATACAGGGGAAACTTCTTCTGATAATTTTGATTAAACACAAAATCTCAGATTAGTAAGTACAGAAATCGAGACCGCAGCGGAGCTTTCCCCAAACTGTCCTATCCATTGAATCCAAACTGTTCTATCCATTGAACGGGTAGGGTAGTTTTCGATTTTAAAAAAACCAAAAATTCGGGTAAAAAATTCCAACAGACTTTTTCGAAGGCTGCAGAAAGTGAGGAACGGTAAAAAGAGACCAGGTGTATATGCAGGATCACCGGGAATGGAGCGGTCTTTCTATTGGTACCAGCTTTTTTAAACGGAAAAATTTGTTTTTGAGAAAACATTTGGAGAAAAATGAAAAAAATTTCCAGTCTAAAAAAAACCAAATCCCATACATTTTCAAAATACATAATTTTTCAAATTTTAGTCACAGAGGCGAAGCTGTAGTTCATGAACACAAGCATAACTAGCCAATAAACAGATGTAGGCAATGTGATTGCTTTAAAATCAATCGTTTAACTTGCACTATTCACCGAATATTATTGAGTATAATTTGACTACAATTTAGCAGACGATCTAAAAATTAAATCTGAAGTCAAGCCGCAACAAAATTTGAGCGCGAAAAAAGTTTTCCTGGGAAAAATTTGAAAAAGTACAAAACTAAATGCATTTCTTTTCTTAGTTCAATGACACTCAAAAACGTCAAAAAGGGGCTCCAAAAGCGGCAATAAAAACCAAGTTTGCCTGATTAACTTGAAAATACAAAATCATCGAGACCACGATATTATAATTTAAGCTGCTCGATAAAGAGAGAGTCGCTGGCTTTAACCAATTAGCTCTGGCGTCTGATTTTGAGGCCAAACTAATTCTTAGACATCAGGCAGCGAAAAAAGAGGTTTAATAAAGCGGATACAACTGGATCAAGCTGTTTAATTACGAAAGAATTTTTGCACTAAAATCTGCATAAGATAAGCGACAAAGTTTTTAATATTGAGTCTAATCATACAAACCTCATACAAATACAATACACATACTGCGCGACATTGAAGATTTTTGCTAACTTTTTGCGAATCAAGATTTTTGCTAACTTTTTCCTCATAACAAAAATAGTTGAAGAAGCTGTAAAATCTTACAGACTAACGCGTTTGAAGCAAATGTGATCCCATTTCAGTCTATACTGAATTCAAATTTCCGCGCAAATTTCGAAGAAAATTATGCCTGAAATTAACCACGAAAACCCAGTTTTGATCCAGCGAAAAAAGGTATGTTTATGGCTTAACATTGCTTTATTTCTTTTGCTGCCCTTAAAAAGGTAATCGTTTTTTAGAACTATGAAAAATCAAGGTACTAAACTTTATTCCAGAAATTGAATTAGATAAAACAGACCATTTTTTACGTTATTTTTGCCCAAAATTTTTATCTTAAGCTTAATTTCTAGGCAAGCTGTCAATTATTGTTGCTATCTATCACAGCTAGCGCATGGTTTTTGCAAACTCTGAAATCATTCACTTTAAAAACACTTTTGGCTCAATGAAAATTTGCCTTTGCGTTTTCAATGTCGCCCAGTATACTTGAAATCCAGAAAGGAAATTACGTGTTTTTATGCGCTATTAGTTATGCCAGAGCATTCTTCATGAAAGCGCACGATTTCTATTTCTTCACAACGCATTGGCAAGTAGCGAACGCTTGCTTCGCTGCGCTTACATTCATCGCGATTACTTTTGGACAGGTGCATCAGTATTTGCCACTATTCTAAAACGTTCTGCTCAATTTGATTCTTTAACACGCTTGAACTTTTTATTCGTCAATTCACGCATATTCAAAATGATACAATCCATCAATTCACGTATATTCAAAACTCTGCAATCCAATGACATAATCAATGGAGCACATTTTCCATTTTTTGCTCAAAGGATCACATTTTGTTTTCGACTTCAATCCGCCCAATATATTTTTCACCTTTTACAGCCACGCCCATAGGAAAATTGCGTATATATATTTAATAAACGAATAAGTAACTTACTGGCGTTGCACATTGTTTATCTGTTCGTGGGTTTGGAAGAGTCGTCACATACACGCATACTCCTCGAAACAGATACAGCAACCCCATCATAACAAAAATACGGCGAAATATGATCCATCTGAAACAGGAACCGAATGATGAAATAACGAAATTAATAAATAAACCATGAACTTTTTTCAAAAAACATCAAATATTAACCCAAGCACTCATTTGAATTACCCAATAAACATTACCCAATCAGCACTTTGTAATGGATAAAAAAATCAAAAAAAGTACGCGCACTAATAGGCTCCTGAAGACTAAATTAGTTCACATGACTATAATTAGTTCGAAGCGACAAAGTTTCTAAATTGCTGCAAGCCAATTAAGGTAAAATAACGTTACTCGACTGATAGTTTTTGAGGTCTGGTATTCAACTCTCGTAATTAGACCTTTAGTTAAAAGCTTTTTCGCCATTCAGCAACTTTAAAACATTAGCAATGATAAAAAAGGATAGCCGGTTGCTGTGCAAATCGCACAGAATGTTCCGATCATACTCTTTTCTTTTTTTTCAAATTCTGGTTTTTGCGCGTGGTGTGATCAAAGGATCTGAACGACAGCCTAAAACGTAGGCATATTCAATGCTCTTAGTAAAATAGGCAAGATGGACAACAGTTTTTATGCAAAAACAAGTAAAAAAGCTTAAAAAACTTGAAAAATTTCCAAATTTTCATACTTTTATCCGGGAAGATGTTAAAGAAAAGACTTAACAAGCCTTGAGAAACAATGACCGAGCGGCAAATAAGATGAAAAAACTTGGGTCGACGCTCGTTAAGTCGAAAATAAAACTGTTGACATAAAAAAAACATTTTAGCTATAAAACTTTTTTAAGTTTAACTTTAACGATCAATCCCCCCAGAGACAAAAAAGCATTGTAAATAATTCTCCCTTAAAACTATGCAATAAAAATTAGTAGTTCCGATATAACATATGCCGAACTTATTAAAAAATACAAAAAAAAATAAAAATCAGAGTTGGTAAATTTACAAACTACAGAGCAACTTTCAATAATATTAAAAACAGTTTGAATCAAAAATTAGAAAAGCCCATCATTGAAAAAGACACCTAAAAACATACCAGATATTAAAAAATGCATTTCAAAAACGGAAAATCAGTCGTCAGAAACTGGGACCAAAACCACAAAACCAAATAAAATCAACATTTTTTTCAATATTATATTTGAAAAACTTAATTACTACCCAATTGAACTATAAATCAGTTTTATTTGAATTTTACAAAAAAAATTAAGCATGCCAGGCTTTAAGCTAGCAAAGTTTCGGCAAAATGTGTTAGAAAAAATTCGGCAAAGTGTAAGTTTACGGAAAAAAAGTCTAACGCCCGATTACAAGTCACTTGCTCTCTCAAGTGGAAAACCACCCGAATATAAAAGTCCTTGCAATGGTCTTCTTTGCAATGGTCGGAACAAAAACTACATTGCTTACTTATGATGATGCAGCAAGATGATCACAAGCATGGTGATTATAAGACATAACATTATACATTCAGCCAGCTGAAATGCAAACTCAGTCCTTGGAAACAGGTCGAACAAGAAATCAGGCAGTGGCGGTTGTGTCATAGGAACTCTGTCGTTGTTCAGAACAATCATCGCCGAGGCGAAACCAGTGCCCAAGACCGTAACGCCGAATGCCAGAAGACATTTGATCTTCTCTGGTGGGGGCGACGATCCATTGATCGGCTTCTGATCCACCGGACTCAGACTGACTAGGTCTATAGCAGCCTCATCTGTCATATGGTGATGCAAAAGTAGTATCGATTTGGCCACTAAATTATCGTCTATTACCCACTGTTTAGTCTCGTTCAGATAGGACTAAAACTCTTGCACATAGACGAACGTAGTGCCAAATGATAAAACATCACATTTCTGAAAGTGTAACATCAAAGAATCGATATAACAATAAGATACAATGGCAAACATCAGAACTATATGCATGACAACTGCTACTTTCAAGTGACAAACATCAACTTCAATGGCCATTTATGTGTTTTGTTTTGTTATAATTTGTTTCCTCTTCAAAACAAAAAATCAAATCCATCTCACTTTAACGGACCAAGCGAGTAACAGAATAACAAAATTCGTAATACTTGCGTTAAATAACAAAAACTAGAACATAAAATTGAACAGAAACTTTGCAACACCAGCTAAAAAAAATAAAAAAACTCGTCAAAAAAGTCACAGTTTTCATACTTTTTAAAATCTTTAAAGCATTTCACGAGTTAATGCAATCCAGCCATTCTTTAGCAATATTATGATTCATAAAAGACTAGCGAGTCATATAAGTCACATCTCGGATACTAAAAGCAATTGAGCAGTTGGATTCATTTGGACGCAAGATTTCCCACTCTTGAGAGTAATCTCACAGTACCCAACAACAGCGTTGGATATTTCAAACCTTGAGAAACATCAAATTAAATTTACTTTAAATGTTAAGTTTTCTGAAAAAATCACAAAAGACGACATATCTCAAAATCCACCAAGATTTGAGCAGTAAAACTTGGGGATAAGATTCCCAACCCCCGAGAGTACTCTGACAACCCCAACCACAGGTGCTTATTGCTCCGCCTCCCCGATTTGCATTAAGTAGAAAACATGTAGATTGTTAGAGGACAAACGTGGCCGCTCAAGAATTGTAGGGAAACGGAAGTTTCCTTGTTTGTAATTTGTAAAGATCATAACTTGAACTAGTTTGGCAAAAGTCATTGCTAATTTATGATGTCTGAAAACTGTCAACGCATTAAATAACTTTGACAATCATGGAAACGCCTTGACGGGCGGGAGTAAATTTCATTTTATATAGTGTCAGCTAAAGCTGACAAAAGGTGCGAAAATCCGTATTCTGGGTAAAACCATTATTTACCCACACCAAGAATAGAAAGGGGGAAACCGGGGAACATCATAAAAATTGAACAATCAGAGCAGTCAGTTGGTTAATAAATCATTCCCTGATAAACTTTTTCAATACTAATTCCTGTCAGGGATTTCGGGTACCCGACTTCTTGAGGAACCTGAACCGAAGGCCTGTACAGGAACCGAGAACTGGACTCGGTCGGTTTCAATCACCAGGAACCCGAATCGACGTGAAAGACGGAACCGATCGATATCGACCTGAACTATGTGGGTTTTATATTAGACAACAAGCATTACTAAACATTACTACAAAAGATGGAAATATTTTATTATCTTATATTAATTATCAAATTTTAGGAACCGACTTGGACCCGAATTTTAGGAACCGAATTGACAAAAATTGTCATAACATCGAAAAAATCGGCACTATTAGGAGTCGGAACGGAACAGTTGCCGGGTTTTTACATTATCGAGAACCGGAACTGGAACCGATTTAACAGGAACCGGAAACGAACCTCTAGAACGGGACTGGAACCGAAAGACCTGTTTCCTGTAATTATCTCATAAGTCTGCGAGATCAAATTTGAGTATAAACATTAGAGCATTTATAGATAATTCGAGTTTCCAATTTAACTTACACTCAATCCTTCTTCTATACCAAGAAAACACGTGTTGGGCTGATCCTACAGAATTAGTTTGAAAAAATTTGGCTAAAACAATCATAACAAATCTAATTTAGGCTGTTTTTGCTTTCACTTTTTTAAAATTCGTTTTTGCAACGCGTTTTTAACGTTGTCATTATGCAACAAAATTTGGCATGGCGAGCATATTCAGCCGTAATAACACCTTAAGCAAACATAACAATCGATAATTCCAGAAGACGGGGAAAGTGAAAAAGAGTCCTAACTTAAAAATTTAAACAATTTTTTTTACAATGATGTAACTGATTCTCATGCTGAAAGAAAATGCAACAACGCCTTTGAATTCACGGTTTACGCGTAAAAGAAAAGTCATAACTTGATCTAAATATACAACTATCTGACAATTTTTTCCAGCCAATATCGCCGTTCGCCGTATATTCAAAGTCCTAGGCTACCCTAAACGAATACATGGGTTCGAGTTCGGCCCACGGCCAATGTTTTTAAAATGAGTTATTTATTTTTTATTTTCAGTTGCTCGAATTCAGGTCTGACTAAAAAACAAGCAACAGAAGTGGATTTCTACTGGAAGAAAATGCATCAAGAAAAAAGTGACAAAAATAAAATCATCAAATAACAAAAAGGGGACAAGACTGATATTGGGTTCCTGAAAACAACATGCATGAAAGACGGATCCGGCGTTTTTTGGTAAAATCTTGATTTTAAAAATGAATAAACGATCACACTGTTTTTCAACATTCTAAGATCAAACATTTCTTCAGGGACCCATCTGAATTTCTGAGACTCAACTTTCATACCTCCTCTAAACCGACAAAAATTTTGCCTCCATGAGAGTATCTGGACAGTTTGAAACATTTCAATAAATTGAAAGATGGTCAAAACACGGCGACTAAACAGTTGTTCAGATGATGATGCATTGTGTCCTCATTGCGCGAAAATAGTTGCCGATTCTGATCAATCAATCCGATGTGATAATTGTTGTTCTTGGGTCCACTCAAGATATTCTAAAATGTACTGATTAAAAGTCACTGTCTTACAAGATCTTGTAATTTTTTTGAATCTGTTGAAAAAGTCAATCTTCAATAAAAAAAAGTTGGTCAACCGAGATGATACACCCTCAGACGCCTCTGTTACTTTCAAACAAATAAAACAAGCCATAGTTGACAAGGAGCTAAAACAAGTTAAAATACATCCACTATTACTACCAATATAACTAAAAACAACTAGCGTTTAACGCACCTCCGGTGCTTCGAAATTTTTCGACAACTCATGAAAAACCGCATATATTAGAAACAACATCCGCAAAATTTTAGCGTACTCTGACTGCACCCAATTACATGGTTGGTAATTTCGAACTTTTTAATTTTTTAAATTCCTAAAAGGATTTTAAAAGGGTCATCTCGAAAACTTAATGGGCCTCTAGAAATTTGGAGGCCAGATTTGCAACCACTGAGAGCACCCTACTATAGGGTTAGGAATTCAAAACTTTTGTGATGTTTTTAAACCTAAGTTTCCCGAAAAAAAAATTGAAAAAAAAACGTCTTATCTCGGAAACTAAAAAGATTTGAGCATTCATATTAAGAGGCAAGATTTGAGGCAACTGGATGTACGCTGACAATAAGGTTATATCTTCATCAAGTTGGTAATTTCAAATTTTTTGAATTTCTTTGAAGACAAGTTTTTTGAGAAATTTTGAAAAAATCAAAAAACGTCACATCTCGGAGACTCAATGTATTTGAGCAGTCGCGTTTAGCAGTCGCATGTGGCAAGATTTGCAACTTTTTAGAGTACCCTGACAACACCGAACTATAGCGTTGGGAATTTCAAATTTCGAAAAAAAAAATTAATTTTAACTTTCTGAAAATTTTGAAAAAACAAAAAACAGTCACATCTCGAAAACTACAAAGAATTGAGCAGTCATATTTGGAGGCAAGATTCTCAATCCTTGAGAGTACTCCGACAGGCCCTAACTACAGGGTTGGGAATTTCGAATTTTCAAAAAAAATCATAATAATTTAAGTTTTCTGAAAATTTGAAAAAATCACAAAAAACGTCATATCTCGAAAACTACAAAGAGTTTAGCAGTCACACTTGGAGGCAAGATTCGCAATCTTTGAGAGTACTTTGACAGGACCTAACTACAGGGTTCGGAATTTCAGATTTTTTAAAAATAAGTTAAATTTTTTGAAATTTTTTTTTAAAATCACAAAAAACGTCATATCTCGAAATCTACAAAGAATTGAGCAGTCATATTTGGAGGCAAGATTCGCAATCTTTGAGAGTACTCTGACAGGACCCAATTACAGGGTTGAGAATTTCCAGATTTTGCGAAAAAAAATTAATATAAGTTATCTGAATTTTTTTTGAAAAAATCACAAAAACGTCATATCTCGAAAACTACACGGATTTGAGCAGTCATATAAGGAGGCAAGATTCGCAATCCTTGATAGTACTCTGACAGTACCCAAATACAGGGTTGGGAAATTCAGATTTTTAAAAAATAATTCTAATTTAAACTTTCTGAAAATTATTGAAAAAATCACAAAAAACGTCATATCTCGAAAATTAAAAACATTTGAGCGGTCCAATTTGGAGGCAAGATTCGCAATCTTCGAGAGTACTCTGACAGGACCCAACTACAAGTTTGGGAACTTCAGATTTAGCGAAAAAAAAATAAATATAAGTTTTCTGAAATTTTTTTCAAAAATCACAAAAAACGTCATATCTCGAAAACTACAAGGATTTGAGCAGTCATATTTGGATCCAAGAGACGAAATCCTTGATAGTACTCTGACAGTACCCAACTACAGGGTTGAGAATTTCAGATTTTTAAAAAATAACATTAATTTAAGTTTTCTGAAAATTTTTGAAAAAATCTCAAAAATCGTCTTATCTCGTTAACTCAAATGATTCGGGCATTCAAAATTGGAGGCCAAATTCGCAACCACTAGTTCGATATTGTGCTGCTTAATTTAAACTCGGTAAAATAACCACTAAAATCAAATTGGAAAATCAAAAAAAAATTCTTAACCATTGCAATATACGATATAACTTAAACATGCAAAAATAATACGTTGAAAAAGCTTAAGCATGGCGGGATAGTGAAGCCCGCATTTAAATATATAATAGATAATAGATAAAAGATGACACGGCGCTTCATTTTAATGAAGTAAGAATGATAAAAGTATGACATGAAAAAAAACGTTCGCCCGCAGAAACTATTGAATATGAATCGAAAAAGGTTAACAAAGTCTTGTGTCAATTAGGTGAAGAAGAAACTGTGATTACCAAAACTCACCGTTTAGGAAAATGGAAACCGAATCTATACATTGCTAGTAAGGGTACTAAATGAA